ATATTATCAAATAAAATTTTATTTAAATATTTTAAAATTTAAAAAATGTAGATCATAAGCATATTTTTAACAATTTTATAGGCAAATTTGTCTGGAAAAGCTTACAGATTAAAGAATAATTTTTATAAAATTTTTATCAATAAAATTAAAACTTTAATACAATATAGAATAATTAAAAATATTTCTTTTTTTGTTAAAACTTAAATTTAATATTTATATAATTAATAATTTTAATATTTATTACTGATGATAATATTATTTTTATTTCTTTTATTAAATTTAAAGATAAAAAGTAAGTTTAAACTAAAGTTAAGGTTAAATATAAAGATTAAATCTTTGTTATAATTAGATTTTTTAAAGATTTTGAATATTTTTACTTAGTATCTTTAATATATGTTAGTTAGTAAATTATTAAAATATAGTATCTCTAACTATATTACTATTGGCAAAAAATAGCAATTTTTTATAATTAATTTTAATTCATTAATTTTTATTTAGGAAGTTGTTATTGCTACCTTTTAATTTGTTATTGCTATCTTTTAATTTGTTATTGCTACCTTTTAATTTGTTATTGCTATCTTTTAATTTGTTATTGCTACCTTTTAATTTGTTATTGCTACCCCATATGATATATAAACTATGTGTTACATATTGTGAGCTCCAGAATTAGTATCACATTGTCACAGTTGCATGTGACATGTGATTAATTATCACATTGTTACAGTTGCATATGACATGTAATCAATTATCACATTTTTGGGACCTGTCACTTACCCAAGTGATTAGTTATATAAAAAGTAAGATTTATCTTACTTTTCTTACTTTTATTACTTTGGTTACTTTAGGTAGATCGACAGCATATAGAACATTTGGGTTTCATAATTATAGAAGAGAAATGTGTCTTATAAAAGACATAATATAAATAGATAATGCAGAAAAAATAAACTCCAAATGTAAATAAAACTTTTATTATAAATAAAGGGCTTTCTGGCTAGGGAAAAAAGTAACGACGATACCTCCAAGTAAATACATTTGCTTAAATAAACTTAAATTATCCAACCCTATATTAAAGTGAAACTATAACCTGACATAAGCTAATAAACTATCATTAAAACCATTATCATAAACTATTATTTACCTGTTTGTAAACTACTAAACCACTAAACTACAGTTTATTCATTCACTGTAAGTCACATGACCAAGTTATTAATGTGAAAGAAGGACCTGACTCCAATTCGATGTATCGTAACCTCAGAATAAGAAAGAAAAGAAAGAATAAAAGAAGACCAAGGTTAAAGAAAACATAGGTTGAAGGAAAGACTTAGAAGAGAAGAGTAGTACTTACCTACAGATAAACCATCTAGCCAAATTTAATACACCTTTTTCAACTTAGCTGCTATAGTTTACATGAGGATTGGAAAAAATTAGTGACAGACTTGCTGATTTGCTATATGATAATATTAAAAATTCATATAATATATATAACAAATATAAACATCAACATACTATATTGTGTGTATTTTAATTATTATTACATTTATTTGCAAATATCTAATATATACTAATTTTGTAGTTACATATATACATAGCTAATTACAAAGAAGTAATACTCATATCTATTTTATAGAACTACACCTTTACATATTAGAACAAGTTTAGCAATTGTGACCAGTTTCATGATATATACTACACTGTTTTAAATGTTTTTTAATAAGCTCAAATGCTGACAAATCTCTTTGTGTTGAATTTTGGCTTCAGTTTTTTGCACCAATTGGCCTTTCCTATGATTTAGTAATAATTGGATCTTTTAGTACAATAAGAGGTATGTGTCCTAACTTTTTTAGTTGAGCACAGGCAGCAGCCTGTTGATATGGTGGTCAGAAATGATATTGTTGTGCAAGACTTTGTAATAAGGGTTGAAGATCAGCATTACTACTATCTACAGGGTGTGTGGGATCTTCCAAGAATTCAAAGTAATGACCTTGAATCCATCATTGCTTGTGGATATCATCTAATTGTAATGGTTGTTTAGTTGCTAGGTGTTTACTTATAATGTGTAAGCATGAAAGTCCCATTGTGGATATTAAGGTTCTTTTGTAAGGTATAAAGATAAATTTTGAGCTATATTTGATGCTTTAATCCATTTATTATAAATTTTTTTTAAAGCAAAAATAGACACACAACACAAAAAAGGCTCAAATAAAATAGTTTGGTAAGTATGTTGTACTTACATATGTTCAGAAAAAATCATTGCTTAAATTTTCCTTGCCTGGAACTTTACTTGCAATACAATTTTTTGATACATGATTCAAGGTCATCCATGGATGATTGTAAATATTTTTTAAGGATGGCATAAGTGACTTCTACTCATGAAGTTTCTTTATTACCAAGGTGTAAGTAACAATTAGTCCAGGCAGAAATAAAATATTCTTTATATGGGATCCAAGTTTCTCTAATATAATTAAGTATATTAAATTTATTTTTATAACATTCCATGAATTTATTCCATTGAATTGTAAACTCTTGTTCATTAATAGATCCTATGATTGTTTGCCACAATTTCATAAATTTGGTTCATTGTTCTTCTGTATCAAAGTGATGTCTACATTTGGCTAATATGTTTTTGTTTATATGCCAAATGCATAGAATTTGTTTAGTAGTTGGAAATATTTTACTAATAGCACTTATTAATGCTAATTCTCTATCAGTAACAATGACATTAGGATATGAAATTCCATTAAAAATTCTTGAAACATATGATAAGGCCCATTTATAATCTGCTTCTGTTTCGTCTTTTAAAAATCAAAACAGGAAAAGAATATCACATTGAAGCTTGATACACCAATAATATTTAATAAAGGCATCTTATACCTGTTTGTCTTATATGTGCAATTTATTAGTAATATACTAGAATAAGTATGAGTTAAGGCAATAGATAACCTGTGAGTGAAAAAAAGGTGTTTGATATAATTTTGATAATTGTATTTATATTCAAACTTAAAATCCAATCCTTGCAATTCATCTAATAAAGCTTGGATTGGTGTTCTGCTATTAAGTCTTTCTTGGCAAATTGAGTATAATGAATTATAAATCATTCTTGATATAGCTATAGATGAAGGATCATTCTGATGAATTGTTAATAAAATCTGACATGGGTAGAAGCTGACAGCATGCATTTATCAAACTTGATCTAATTGACCAGCATCTAATCTGCTAACTATTGGATGTTCAGATATATTTATTGATGCTTTATAGTTATAAATAGGGTTTTTAACTTCAAGAAACTAAACATTATTACATCTAGATCCATAGTGTTCAAATAAACATCCTAAAAGCCTAGATGCAGTTTGTTAATAACATGTATTGGTTGTCAAATTTAATTGGTTCCTATAAGAACCACCTCTATTATATTTTAATAACACATTCTTGATTCTGTCATTTTTATCACTACATGTTCTCTTTACAGTTATTGCATATCCTTGGGCCCTAGTAAAATTTCGAACATAATTAAGAAGTTTATCATAGTTTGTAAATTGGTGAGATGCAGGTGGAAGCATTTTGATAATACAGTAATATGTAACTACAGTAGTTATTAGATAAGAGATATAATACAATTTAATTTTTAACAGATTCAAGAAACAATAAGAATTTGTAGATATAGATAAAAATGATTTTATTAAATTCAGATGAAATGGATATTTATAGTTTTGATTCTACTTTCTTCTATCTTCTTATCTAAAAAAAAATTTTAACATTTATATACTGTACATGCAATTATGACACATTCCTAATGCGCATGATAATTAGAATTAAACATAGTACATTTATTACCTAAATATTATATAACTATATATTACATTATATCTCATACAGACTAATCATATGTATTGTTAATTAATTGTATGATATATAACATGTGTGATATTTAGACAATGGTTATACTATATTTGATCTGAAGTTTGGACTGCTATAAGCTATAATCTGCTAATTTTTTAACTATCATAAGCTATAATCTACTGATTTTTTGACTGTCATAAGTTACACTTCACATTATATAATTTATTATCAATTCTGTAGCATGGGTCAATTTTTTTTTTTTATTAATTAACAATGTAATATGAATCAAAAAGTAAAAAAAAATAAAAAAAAAAAATAAATGCTTATTGTTTAACTATGCTATTATGCTTAACTATTTAATTAAGCTAAACTAATAGCTAAAATTGTTTTGTTAACTCAATTTAAAATAATTAATGTTTTATAATTTAAAATTGATATATATTACATCGTATACATATCATATAGAGGTAGCAATAACAAATTGGGAGGTGGCAATAACAACTTCTTTTATTTATATAGTTATTATTTATTAGTTAATAATATATATATATATATTTTTATATTAAAAATTAAATAGATCCCTTAACTAAAATTCACAGGAAGCAAAAACATAAAATAACATTAAAACATATAAGCAAGCAATATATAGAGCACTAAGGAAAAAGATAGAAAACATAGAGATACAGCTAACCAACTTAGAAACAAGAAATAAACTAGAATAGCAACAAGCAACAGTAAGGAAACCAATCTTTGGTAAACTTTAATAAGCAAAATTAGCATATAGAAGTAGAACAAAACAGATTGGATAAACCTACATAAAACTATTAAAGGAAGGTTTAGCATAAAGATACAAGCTTTCTATCAATACACTAATATAGATATAGCATTCTTCAATAAGGTTCTTAATTAGTTTTAACCTGATTTGAAATGTTTGCAAAAATTTTGTTATTATTGTCAAAAAATTAGAAAACCACACTAGATCCTGAAACAAACAGTCAGAACATGTGGTCAGCTGACAACAAAACAACAACAAACATAGCATATTACACAAACAACAATACTATCCTAATTAGGAAATAATAGATAAAAGTTTCTACATGTACTGCTAAGCAAATGGAAAAACAACAAACTAAAATAGAAATAGAAGTATAGTGCAGACTAGGCCTTATAGGTAACACAGAATTAATACAATATATAAGAGGTTTTGGTGATAAAAATAGAAGATATATAGACAGCAGAATACTAGATGAAATCTTATCAAAGAGAATAGATAACTCTAGCAATTTAGAGTATATAGTGAAAGATCTTGCAATTTATGACCTAAAAAATATCACAATAGGTGATGTACTTCTTTATGAGCAAGTACTTGAAGCACTTAAAAGAGCAGAGAACTTTTTATTAACAAGAAATATGATAGAAGAATGGGCAGGTAAGCTTTTAGCAGTAGATCAAAACCCAAAATCATTTAACTACTTGTTAAGCATGAAGAATGAAGAAATACTAAAAGTGAAAGCAGAAATTGAAGGAATAGAAAGAGGTGAAAATATAGAAAACATAGATATAGCTTATATTGAAAAGAAGAGACAACAATATGAAATAAGCAGTGATGAAGAAGCCAGCACAAACCTAAGTGTAGTCATCAACCAAATGCAAGATCTTAGCATATTAACATCATTAGATAGAGAACCAATTGCATTAGATTTTCTATAACAAATGAAAAGAGAAAAAAAAGTAGATAAAAATAAAAAGAGTTAAGGTTAATAACAGAGAAAAATCATGAAGTGCAAATATTTATAGACACAATAGAACAAAGTCAGTGGTCTCCAACAAATTATATATATGACAATAGCAAATCATTCAAAGCAAATATGCCAACATATGCAATACCAGATACAAATAAAGAAGAAAGACTAAAATACACACAATAGATTCTACATAGTAATTATCACATTAAAACAATTAAAGAGGTTTTCAAAAACAGGAACAGTTGAATTGAGGTAGATTTCGACTGTAAAATTTAGTAGAGATGCAGCAATGGATAGAATCAAAGAGAAAGAAGAAGATTGGCTTAAATTGATTCCAAAAGAATCAAAAGTGAAGAGAAAAAACTAAGCTGCCATACAGTAAACAACAGTAAAAAGACAAAAATAAACCCAAAAAATACAAGAAATTTAATGAAAAGGATGATGATAAAAATGCATACCTAGAGAAGATGAATTAGAGCCATATATATGTCTAACAATATGGGACCTACTGGCTAACATCAATACAGAAGAAATAGAATACATGTGTAGAAACTTCAAAAAAACTCAAATTAAATGCATTAGAAGATCCAAATATAAAGCTTTAGCTGTAGTTAGAATGGAAAATATAAAAGAAGAAAATGTGCCATGGTCCTTACCAATCAGCATAAACTTGCTAATAAGAGTAAGCATAGGCAAAGAAGACTTTAACAAGCACAATTCACAAAACCGATTTACAGCAAAGATTTTAGAACTTCCAAGTGATGCATTAGAAGTATTACTATTATGATGCTTGAATAAAAGAGAAGCAAAATTAGTATATATTCCATTTAACAGAAATGGAAATTAGAGAAGATTAGTAACAATAACATTTGCAACTGAGGAAGAAATGAATATGGCATAAACAAAGCCAATAAGATTTAACAATCACTTATTATTTTGGTCAAACTATGTTGAAAAAAAAGGAAAAAGTAAAAAGAAAAGTGATAATACAAGTACAAAAGAATAAATAATAACAGAAAAAGCACTGATGAAGAAATATATAAATATAATCGAAGAAAAGAAAGTAAACAAAGAAATAACAAGAACAGAAATAATTATAGAAACAGAGAGATTACAGAAGAAACCTAATAATCAAAGATCAGAAGCAAAAGAAGATAAAGAAAGAAAAAAAACCACAATTACAGCCACAAGAAGGAACCTCACACATTGAAAATATCTTAAAATGAATACTAGAAAGATTAGAAAGACTAGAAGAAGATAGAGAGAAAAATAAGATAAACCAACCTAAATGCTCCTAAGAGCACCACAGTTGAACCAATGAATATAGACAAGGAAATTGAAGTATTTTTTACAGGTTGAATGAATAAATAAAGGGTGAATAATAGGTAAATAACAGAAAAAATACTGCCATTATTCTACCCTATATCTGCAAATAATGACAGTATAATAGCAGCATAATAGCAGAATAACAGTAAAATAACAGGAGGTTTGTTAATATGAGTAACATAATAGTAACATAATAGCAAAATAATAGAACAGTTCTATTATTTTACTTTTAGTCTTTGTAACTAAAAGTAAAATAATAGAACTGTTCTATTATTTTGCTATTATGTTACTATTATGTTGCTCATATTGCCAAACCTCTTGTTATTTTACTGTTATTCTGCTGTTATGCTACTGTTATACTGCCATTATTTGGCAGATATAGGGTAAAATAATGGCAGTTTTTTTTTCTATTATTTACCTATTATTCATTCTTTATTTATTCATTCGACCTGTGTTTGCAGAAAGAAAGAAAAATCTTCGAGGAAGAAAAAGAAATTAGATTTCCTTATCAGAAAGAAGAAGGTTATAGGATAAGAAAAAAAGAAGTTAAAAATATAAGAACAAGACAGAAACTACTAAAAAAGAAATAAAAAGAAGGAAAGAAAGAAATAAAGTTAGCATGTCATAATAACAATGGACTCAAAACTAAAGGTTGGAAATTAGAGAATTTACTTAGCTGGGCAGAAGAATAGGAAATTGTAATACTAGGAATTATAGAAACAAACATTACTAAAAGAGAAGGAAGGTTCCTAATGCATGCAGCAAGTAGAAACTATATAGGATACTGGACAAATGTAGCAGAAGATAAGAAAAAAGGTTCAGATATAGGAATACTAATAGAAGAACAATAGGAAAAGCATGTGAGTGCAGTCAAGAGGATAAGTAAATATATAATGAAGATTATATTATACTTTAAGCAATTGGAGTTGGTAGTAATAGGAGTTTATATACCATCAAATAATAAGATAATAGAGAAAAACATCCAACAGAAGATTGTAGAAATAGTTATGAAACAGAAAAGACAAATACAAGTTGTAATTATGGATAACTTTAATCATATAGCAGACAATATATTAGATAGGCAACATACACAATCAGAAAATTTTAAAAGACTACCAATCTTTAACTGGATAAGAAAACAAGACTTCATAGATACATACAGAAATATGCACCTGACAAGCCAAAATTACATATAGTCAAGCAAAGAAGTGGCAACAAGAATTGACTATATTTGGGTGTCAGAAGAACTGGCCTTAGGCTTGCAAGAAGCAAGCATTAAGGAAACAGAAGAAATCACAAATAGCAATTATAAAATAACAACTGCAGAAATATGAATTAAACATATGATGGAGAAAAGCAGCAAAGCAGAAGTTAAAAGAAAGGACAATCAAGAATACTGTATTTATATGATCAAGCAAAACCAGAAAATTGGGAAGATTATATACAAGAGCTACAGAAGTGACTAGAAGCAAAAGAAAGTCTAAAAAATATTCGAATAGAAGTGCAAGACATGAAAGAACATATAAATAAAATAAATAATATATAGGATACATTAGAAGAAGCAATTATCACTGCAACAAATAAGCATATACCCAAAAAAAGAATATACAACACAATGGCAAATAGAAAAACTAGTAAAAAAGTACAAC